GTGATAAAGAAGAACATAGAGTAATGAAATACATACTACTTCATAATTATTGGGATTTATGCATAGACTTATTTTACTAGTGCGTATGGACCAGGTCATTGAATAAACAAAATGGCACCGACTCCTTGGTGCGAAAATGTTTATGAAGCACCAACGCGAGCACCAATGCATGCCGTGCGTCCGTGCATTGTTTCCAGTTTTAGATATTTTGCACTATTTTAGCGTAAATCTACTAATATAGGTAGAGCTTTAAGTGCTTCATGTTGACAGGGTTTTGGATAATTTGGGGTAAAATCGAACTTCAGGGTAACCTTGCTTTTTATACACACCCAATGTAATTTTTTTTAAAGATTTACTGAAAGGGATAGAGTCAAAAAGTGTTAGAAAAGTGTAATGAAATTTTTTTCATTCTGTATATCGGAATAATGATATAATTTTTTACTTAGTTCCTTATTCGTTATTCATATGAGACTAAGTGTTATTATAATTTGGAAATGCGAACGTCTTCTTGATCACAAAACTCAAGATGTTTAATCGTGAAATGATACCCAAATTTTGCAATAATGTTATCTAAAATTTTGAAAATTAGGTGCAACAAATAATGCTATTATGATTTTTTACGATAATTTAGGGAATATTTCAACAGTTTCCAGGGTAAAACCAAAATTATAAGTGAAAACACTAGTTCCGTGGTAGTTCATGAGTATTTAAGAGATGGCGCTGACTTTTATTCTATGCTTAAACCATGAAAATTTTTACGAAGTTGTAAAAAAGAACTAAATGTTCGCAAGTTACTGGCAAGTTTGAGAAAATAGGGCGTTTTTAATTGTGGACATAAACGAGAATCAAAAAGACTTATCCTTATATGCCAGCCTAATATTACAGAGGGGCGGGCCAGATATTTAACTAAAATTACATAAATTACAGAGAAATAACAGAAATTACAGAGTCCACAACCGCAACATATATTTTCCAGACGAAACGTATATTAACGCAAGTCATAACGGAACGGAATATAAAAAACAAGAGGAAGCCCAAAGTGGACGGGTCCTGTCACAATAACGGACAGTAGAGGGTAATTGACTGTCTGTCGTAGGCACAAATTATAAAGTTCTATGGTCATAGGCTCAAATTCTCGCAAGCTAACATGTCGCTGCTTAAGTGAGTTATACGAAAATATGTCGTTTGGTGCAATATTGGAGTATAAAAACGAAAGTAAATAGAAAAATATTTCGAAAGGAGGTGTTTCGTACCAAGGGCTCGTGTAATTTTTCCTTTTTTGCATAGAAACGTGACTAAATATGGATAAAATATCAAATTGCCTTTATTACAAGTAATTTTCAACCTTATGAAATTACTTTAAGGTTCATCTGTTAATACATTATGAATAAAAGTTTTTGCGATAGTGTTGTGACTACGTCTATAATAAAGTTTTGGATAAAATTTTATCACAGTCGTGTTTATCCACTTACATATTAACGATAATGTGTATGTACTGGATGTCTTTAAAAATATATGACATTATAGTGTGATACCTTATAATTTGCTATGAATGAACATTTTTGTTAGGTTTGCTAAGCCAGATAAGTAAGTAACAAGTTAAGTATTACTCATGATTTTGGGAAAGTAGCTGAAATAAAAGTGATCTTAATATCATGATCTATATTGGTATCCGAATTCATTATCGTTGAAAATTTAATATTAAAGTGTGAAAATAACATTTTTAAACCACATATGTGTTATTTAAATGACAATGAACAATTGCTAAATTATTGTTTTTATTGTTCTCATTGCTTTCATTTCAATGAATCACACTGTTAACAAACAACTGACAACTAATTATATGCCGACTTTATGAAATACGGGGATATACGTAGTACATTAAGGCAATTTCTAAGGAATTTTCATATATTTTCCTCAACTTTAATATTGACCGAATTTCGATAAGGCACATCGCGCTCAGGCAGAGTAACTACATCACAAACATCATTCACGTAGCAGTATAGGTTAGGTAGGGCAAAGTCAATGTTATGTCTATTTAAGTTTTGCCTTATAATAGCGTAATTTATTATTGCGATATCTAGCGTCACATAGTAATTTTTTTTGTCAATCCTGGAAGCTCCTTGGATTGATACAAATATATCCTATAAATAAAAATTTATGGTGCATTTTCAAATAATCGATGTATTACTGTGACATCTCCACCTTCATTTGTTTCAATTCTCAATTTTGGTTGTATATTTACAAGACGCTGTAATGATTGCATCTATAAAAATAACCATCATAAAAACTTATTTATGACATTTGTTGTGTCGAAATGCCGTACAATTGGACTATGAGAGTGAGAGAATTGAGTGTACCTGTGTTTATGCAGTACACGAGTGTACGTGTACTTTAAATCTCTCCTGCGCAGATGGCCAGCCTCCGTTGATACTGGCAACCGTGAACGAAATTTGGTCTGGACGACATTATTATTATTTTATATGCTCTATTATCAAAATAATCTGTAAGAAATTACACCAAAAGCTACGCTTTTCGTGGATATACTATAATTAAGACTTTAAATTAATTTAGAATCTAAATTAAATACGAAAAGACATTCATTTAATAAAACATTTTTGTGATAGAACCATGCTGTAGCTATATTATGGCTGTAGCATTGCTGGGTGGGTTCAAACGGTAAATTTACTAATTAATTCTATAAACTTCTTTGATGAAAAGGAAATATGATCTCAATTTTTAAGAATTTATGGTCCATACTCAGCGAATGATGAGTTGAATTTCAGGAAACTATGACGAAATCTCAACTGCAATGCACTCGGTAAAATACAAAAGAGCCCGTGTATATAATTGATGAACTCTTGAAAGCCAATGGACAAACCGTCTTACGCTTACCGCCGTATCATCCAGAACTTAGCCCCATAGTTAGTCTGGGCTGACATTAAAAGCAACATAGCCCAGAACCATTTAAATCTTCACTAGATGAGAAAAAATATTTTGGATTAATAGTTTTCGGAGTTCGGTTTCGGAAATGTGAGGGCCATGTCCAAAGAAATGAAAACGATTACTGGGATTGTGACATTCTATTATCGATTGTATAAAAATAGATTTGCAAGATGACTCTGACATATGTAGTGAGGGAGATGAAGATGCTGGATGAAGTAGAGTGTATGTCAGAGTAGTTTTATTTTCCTTAATAAACAAGTATGTCCTTTTAATTATTTGTTTGATTTTGACATTTTTCACTTTTGTTATCATTTATTTTAATACAAATTTATTTAATTTAGGAACTTATCCCACGTACATGCACGTTAGTCCAATGCCCATAACCATATTAAATATCACGAAGTACTATCTTAAGATCTGTCTTAAAGTATTGATCTCCTGTGAACTCACGCTTTAATTTCCCCTCACCACACGTCTGTCGCCACCTAAGGCGCGGTACAGCGCTAGCGGTCAACATGGTACATGAGCCTTATAGCATAAGATATATTGTAAACTTGTTTGTGGTTCTATAAATAAAATTAAAAAAGTGACCCTTTCATATCGGATGAGGTTTTATAAATATTGTATATGTAGTTTTTATAGACCAAACTGTATAAGATTTTCGACATAAACTGTAATTTCATATGTAAAGATCTAATATAAACGGTTCGCCATACTGTTAACAGTAACTTATTTTTTTTATAAACATGAACACAACGAGCGTGTAACGAGATTGCACTGTCGCTTATCTGACCAACAAAATAAGAAGCCGTTTAGCAGATGATTCTTTGGACATTTTGTGGTTCTTAAGGAGCTACTTTCAAAATAATTCGTAATAATGGCTTGTGATTTCAACTGAACAAATCTTTAATTTGATTGGTATATTTTGTTAATTAATCTGTAATTTCTAATAGTCTGGCTAATTGGTATATTTTGTTAATTAATCTGTAATATCAAATGGATCTACTTAGTACATATAGTTTTATTTAATTGATAATCTCAGTTTAATAGTCAACTCAACTTTGATAATAAGTTTCATTTTTTAATTCTAGTTGTTTTGTTTGTTATAAATGTACCGTTTTATTACTAAAAGGTTTTTTGTTTGATATTAGAAGAGAAGACTAGTTGTTTCTTTTATATGTTATTTGATAGATACGTACGTCAAAGTTTACTACTTAGAAGTTTATTAAAAATTATAGACAGATACATCAATGTTTGATGCATAAAAGTCTATTGAAAAAAATTGAGAAAATAAATGTTTATTTAATAATACTTATAATTTTATAAATTTTTCCTAAATTATTCATATATTGTGATTATTTGCAAAGAAAACACACAAAACTGCCTATCTTGCGAGATCTCGTATTGTATCGAGTATCGTTATTTATAAACTCGTGGGATCTCGCTTGAGCCCCAATCTCGCGAGATTTGCATTCCCTAATGGTAAGTGGCTACTGCGGTCCATGAACACGTTGTCACCTCTAAGGTCTAATGTGGAATGTGTCACAGCCTGTAATTATACTGGATCTTCATATCATTCACACCGGAACACAATGTTGTAAGCACTTCATTTAGTTGCATAAATAGGTCAATATTACAGATGTCTTTGATGGCAAATATATAAGTATTAATTAATGTTATTACTGAAACAGACCTTTACAATTTTTTCATTAAAATTATTATTGTTAACAGATATAACGAAAAAAACAGCGTTTACGGGCATTCTGATGATACACGGGTACTCTGATAGTGCGTGATTCTTTCCTGATCTAACTACTTAGTAATATAAGACAGAACAGTCTCAGTTTTTTTTAAGAATTTCTTCTCAGATTCACATTATATGTTTCTTAGCCACCAATAAGGACTACTATAGCTTGAACACAGGTATAGCTTTAAAAGTTGACAATGTCCTCCACCTTCCCCCCCTCCATCAAAAATAGCGACTTAAAACTATGAGCGAGTTGTTCGCGGCCGATCAACCTGTTGTTATAATGCCGCAATAAGATGTTTCATACCTTAGTGAGGTTATCGGCGAGTTGTGCCGGTCGCGCTAGGTGAAGGCGGCCCTCTGATCGCGAGCCTCGCCTTGCGTCGGCCGCCCGTGCCGAGCCGCTGCTGGCTACACTCGTGTCCTCGTCGTCTTCTTCCTCTCGAACAATGCTGCACTTACGGGAACGCTGAAACAATCACCAAACCTCATCAGACTGCTAGCACATAGCTGAAACTGGGACGACTTTCCCTGTAATTTTAAAACTGCACAGTCGCCGATTTAAATATTTATGTTCTAATACATATATATGAGAAAATAAATATTGAAATCGGCGACGATATAGCTTATGCTATGGTTGTCTTTTCATGGGTTTAACACGTCGTCTTGGTATTCCTAATTCTAAATCTTATAACTCCCGAATTATCACGTATTATAGACATTTATTGTGTTCTTAATTTGTTTATATTTTGTATAAGTGCTAAAACTGAAGCAAAGTAAGGTTGTTGTTTTGAAACAAAGTAAGAAACATAATTTTGTTTGTATGTGTGTGTGTGTGTGTGTGTGTGTGTGTGTGTGTGTGTACATGTGTGCGCGTGTGTATGTGTATGTGCGAGTGCGTGTGTGTGTGTGTGTGTGTGTGTGTGTGTGTGTGTGTGTGTGTGTGTGTGTGTGTGTTTTTATTTTACTTACATTCCATTCTTTATTTATTGCATTGTTTTTAGCATATCTTCTGTTTCAGAGTAAGATTTAAAGTGTAGGAATATAGTTACTATTTCTTTACAAGTGTAGCGTGGTTTAGAGTATATGTTCACAGCCTGATTAACTTTGTTATACATATACAATAAAGATCCCAGAATAACATGTTGTCTTTTTGCAAACGGTGATGTCTCTTTAGGAATCCTGATCTTTACGTCGTTTATTCATGTGAATAACATGATCGAAGGTAGTTTTAGCGTGATTGTGTAAAATTGATTTTAAGATATACAATTGTCGAACTGACAGGACACCCGTATTTGAGTAAATCAGAGAAGTGGAATAGCTATAGGGTTTAAAAAGAATTACTTTTAATACCGCTCTAATATAATTTTTAAACGTTCCTCCCCATGAAGTTATGCAATTATTGATTGACATAATGCGAGATATGTAAGCAATTAATGCTGCTGTGTTTCATGTGGTGATTGTAGAGAACCGGAGACCCTTTTTACTGGAAACGAGGCATTCCATCTTAGACCTCAAGGGAGACAATGCATCTATATTTTGATTATTTATCGAGGACAGATGATGTCTATGGGCCACAGCATCCCATTATCATCATATGGACTGGGAGTTGTATGTCACCCTTATTCTATATAAATTAAAAAAAAAAACAAATCACAAATTAGAAGCATAACACAACACTATTTATCCGTTATATATATATATATATATATATATATATATATATATATATATATATATATATAACACTAACCCATAGTTGATTAGCGTAGCTGTCGAAAAGTTCTTTTTATGAGTTCTGAAATCAGGAAATGCTACTTTTTAAAATTACATAAGTAGGAGGTTTATTACCGGTGGTACATCTTGCGGGGTGCGCGGCGCTGCAGGAAGGGGCGGCGGCGCCAAAAGCGCTCGACCTCGCGAAGCGCCCAAAGGGACACCCAATGCTTCAGGCCTTCGCACTGCACGGGCCGCTTGCCTGTAACAACAACCAATTAATTTGTTGACATAACTAACTAATGCCACACATTGGTGTATTAGAAAAACCTCTGTATGTAATAATAATAAAGTATAAATTCGAGTAGTTTGCTATTTAAATTTGGGAGAGATCTAATATGTGAGGCTGTAGACTAAAGGCTGATAAAGTAAAATAATTTTCAAGAATATAGTTTTGTACACAAATGCATAGTTTTTTTGGGTTATTCGGGTTATTCCGTATATACACCCTAAAAATCCACCTTAGGGTGGATACTCGGAAACGCGTGTCATCTATCACTCCAGACGGAGTGGAAAATCGAAATTCAAAAATATTATTTTTTCTTCCGATTTTCTTCCTCGGCTGTGTACAGTTATCTGAAGAAACATTATAAAAATTGGCCCAAGATACTTAGTAGACATTAGCATTCCCATATTATATATATATATATATATATATATATATATATATATATATATATATATATAGACAAGAACAGGAGTACCTCACAGGAATACAGATTATTGGAATCTTGGCATAAAAAAATAAAATGAAGTTAAAGACAAATATCCAAAAGTAACGTTTTTGGAATGCTTGAAAAAAAAAACGCCCAGTTTTTTAACACATCTGTTATAGCAAAGAAATTTAGAAACAGAATGTGAATGCAGGTACATTAAAAGTGATGAATTTATCCAGGATGTCAAATTACGTCCACTCGACAACAGTGTTGGTAATTTCCTGGACATATTGCAGAATTTATAAATTAAGTAAGTAATAATATTAATTAAAACGGGGGACTTTAATTATATCAAAATACTAATTAATGCATGGACTCTAATAGGCTATAACCGTAACGGTAGGTACGGTAACACGTAACATGATTTTCGTTTAAGTTTGTGGTTATTATAAATTAATTCGTGAAAACTAGCGACTTAAAAGTTTAGGACCAATTTTGATACATAAAAGGTATTCTTAGACTGAGCGCCAATGTTAAAAGTATATTATAGATACTATATTCTTCATACATTTCGTATTCGTGATTTAAACAAATACTAACATTAAATACACAAAATATTCAAAAGTAAAAGACGCCAAAGTTAACCTCACTTAGTTGCAACTTTTCCATCAGCGTTTATATTGAAAATAATAGGTTTTGATTTCAAAGTTCAAGGTAAATTTACCTCATAATATAATACACAACACTCAGTTATGTTTTGCTCATTTAACTGTGCTGCAAATACCAAAATTTTCGCTTGTGGCAAAATTGCCCTCCCATTTTCAATTTTTCAAGCAAACTTGAAAATATGTGTCAGGGTTGTCAACAATTTTTTATTACGTACTTTACTTAAATTTTTTTTTATTTAAATCTTTACACAATAATGTCTTAGACAAAAATCTAATATATATCAAACAAAAATACTCTCATCTGAAATTAAGTCAAATTGGTGCAATAATAAGCTTAAATCAAATATAATAATATTTAATCAAATATATATCGAAAATAAAGCTTGTCATAATAATTTTAACAAGGATATTAATAGTTACTTTGCAACCATCCTCTCAATTAAATACAATGTTGTGCCTTACGTAGATTGAAAAGCACCTCCCGCTCTCCCTCAATTGCGTGCACTAATCGCGTCACCACTACTCCCAACTAGTTGTAGAGTTGGGAGTAGTGGTGCTGGGGATAGGACCTGGGAAGGATATCCTCGGAATAACCACACTTTTGCCGTTGGTGTCCCACACCTTGTAAGTTTGGACTTAAACTTTTATGTTTGAGTGACGACACCCCTTCATTTTTTGTATATAGAGGACAAACTCATGCCCTTACTGTGGTGAAATTTCAATAAATTTAATGGTAATTTTTTTTTGTAAAAGATATCCCTTTTCGCCATTCCGTGATAAGTTTGTTTTGCGTGTAGTGGCCTAGCTAAACCGTAAGCGCTAATCAAAAAAAAAAAAAAATAATGAAATTGTCGTTCACTTTAATAGTTAGGAATACATCGAGGATTTATATACATTTTACATTTTTTTCTTCTCTAACTTTACTTCATACCCAACCTGTTTTCCTCCTTCACCACTGCACGTTGTTAATTTTACATATTAAAGGAGACAATCAATTTTTGTATGGAGAATGGGCCCACCACAAATTTTCGCGTCACGCAATGAAATGGATGTCGATTTATTCCTTATAATTTATAGTTTACAAAAGTAATATTAGTTTTACCACATCTAGACGGAAAATCGAGAAATTGACAATTAAAATATGAATTTTAAAATAACCTATAAATAAACTAAAAAGCTATTTATAGTGGTTTTTACCGGTATTTTAAGTTAAAATAGTGCACTGTTGAATAATAGTTCATATAAAACCAAGTTGTAGGTACATTCAGCATTTTCAGGTACTTCAATATTTTTAGTAGTTACGGCAAAATATAGTGCCTGTCTGTGTACAAATGTGGTATGGATACAATTTTTTACATATATTGATTGTGAGTGTACTTCCCAATTACCGTTAAAATAATATGAATAAATTCAAGATGACTAAGGTATAATATATCCATTTATATTTACAATATTACCAACACACGTTATATAGTAAGAAAGATGTTTTAAACTGACTGTGTAAAAAACAAGTTATAATGCAACCGTATTTATAGATGGTAAATCATCATTTCCAACATAGTCTATATAATTCAGACATATAATTCAGATCTATTTATGCAGACAGACAGACAGGCCCGGTGTCAAGACTTTTTTTAATATGCTTTGGTTGATTATTAAATACCTAATTATACATCTTAAAATGACTGGGTTCTAAAATACCAAAATGACTAGGTAATATCATGCTTATCTGTTATTACACACTGATAAATTGTGAGGAAGTAAGATGTTTTGAACTGTTTGTGCCAGGATAACAAACACACAGGTATAGTTTAATTGTATTTATTATTAGCGATCCGCCCCGACTTCGCACAGGTGATTTCTGGATTTCGACAACAGCGCCACCTACCGAGTCCATATGTGAATATGAATCATATAGAGACCCGTTCAAACACACATAAACATATCATCAAAATCGCTTGGATGGTTTCTAACGGACATAGGTAGAAACATTTTTCGTGTTTTCATATCAAAAGATCATATTAAAAGATTTTTTCAAAATAACTTGATGGTAACATTTCTATTTATGATACGATATTGATATGTAATAAGTCCCAAAGATCATGTATAATCACTGCATTAATTATGGTTAAAATCGTCAGTGTTTTATGAGTCCTCTTTTAAAAATAACACAGCAGACAGGTGCAGTGCCGGCCCTTTGTTCATTAAAGTATTCATCTATTAGCAAGTATAAATCCCATACATCATTAAAATATAATGTCTCGCCCGTTTACGATATTATTAGAAATCAGAAGGATATTGTCAATTAAAAGAGATAAAAAAGGGTGCCAAAGCAATAAATTCAACTTTGCTCGGCGTTTATTTATAAATTACACATATAACATAATATATAACAGATAATAAAGCACACAGTAAAATAGAAATAGTTCAAATAAGCAACAAAAATTACAATTTTTAGTCATCATTATTCATCATCATTACAACAGTCCACTGCCGAACATATGGCTCCTAAATTAAAGATATAATGTAAAATATTACAGAGGCCTTCCGTGAATTGCCATCACGTTCCGTCCCGTATGGTGTCGTTAAAGTCGACAGAATAAAATAAAAATACTAGGAGATGGGGAGCAGCATCTTCCTATAGAATACCACAAAAAACTTTGGTTGCCACAAGTGAAGCAACTATAGCAAAAATGATCATTTATATTACAATATTAATACGCATTAAGATTAATAATCATCATTCATCATTTTCAATATCATTACTTGAAAGTAATATATCATCTAAAAAAGATGCAGGTGGTTCAACCTCATCTCGATGCCGTGCCCAAGATAGAAACCAGACAACAGACATGACATGTGCACAGCAGCCAACAGTGCGTCTGCCTACCAAACAGTTGCAACAGTACCCAGTAAGAGCAGCCCTAGTGTTAGCAATTGATGGGTTGGTGTCAACTAGTATATAAGTGTAATAAGTTTTTTTACTAGTGTGCCTTGATTGTATCCTACCTCGCAATAGATAACTATTTGGACCAAAATCATGGACAGATTGCAGGTATACCTCGATTTTATATTCTCCAGAAGCCCTGACATGCTCCCCGTAATAACTACGAGCTTGTTTAATTTGATAAATTCCTAGACTAAACAGAATGAGATCCTGGAATGTCAGTTGAGGAAAACTATCCAGCTCTGGAAGATTACCATTAATGCTGGCAAATCGCACTCTCACTCTATTTAAATTGTGCATTTCTACGTAGGAGGCTAAATTATTTGGAGTGTTTAGTTTGGCTTGAGCAATTGCCAATATCTCTACAGCATGAAAATTATTACGAATCAACGTATGAAATCGATTTATTAATGCAGCTGCAATTTTAAAGTATAGCATGAGATGAGTAGATGCAGTATTAAAATATTCCTGACGAAATAATTTGAAGTCCCGTTTAAATCTCCCATTTACAATTTCAATCACCCACCTGCACAAAGTTACACATCTGGACTTGTTGGCAGCAATGGTTGATAATTGTATTTCACCAGCTTGTTTAGATTCAGGCATGTAAGCCTTATAACCACATTGCTGCAAGAATGGAATTGCATCCCTAAAACCTCTATCAAGAATAAATACATCGTTTTCTCTAAAATAGGTTCGCAGTGGACTACTATCGTTGAACAGTCTAAGAATTATAGAAGCATCTGATTCTGTTGCAGGATATGGTCCAAAAACATCAAGGATATAACCATTACAGCACACTATTAAAAATGGCTTAACTAAGTTACGATACTTATGTAAACTATATGTTTGCTTCTGGTATAAGTAATTACTACTTTTTTGCACATAAATGTATGTACCATCACATATTACTATGGCTGGCATAAATTCA